TGACTGAAAAATTTCATTTTTACTGAAAAGGTGGTGTCTATTTACTTGTGATCACGCTGTGTATAATTCAATATACTAACCAAACCTTTAAAGTGAAAGCATAACAAGACAAAACAGTGGCACTAATTTTTAAGTGTTTTGTACGTATAGTTATATTCCCTTTTTACTTTAAAGTTCGTTTCATTAGTTGTATTCGTTATAATATTTAACATATGTATATATCATTTTATCTTCTACACTTACGAAGATTATTTTGAATTTTTAACTTAGTATATGAATTTAGAAATAATCTAAGTTTAATAAACTGGCGATATTGTTTGGTTTACGGCCGAAAATATCGATAATACAGAGGATACTCAACTGATGATTCAATGCTTTCTAATCATTAAGAGCTTAAGGAAGAGGCTTAAGTTATAGCGATATAGCTGAATTGTTTGCTTAGTATACGGATTTAGAACTATCTTAAATCTGGTGTTTTATTCTCAACATGAAGATCAGTTGTATCTCAGTAATTAAAAAACGCCTGAAAAAAGCATTGGTAAGCAGTTAACATTATTATTACATGAGAACAATAAAAAATCACACTTATAGAATTTTATTTTTTAAATATTTCATAATAATCGACTCGTATCATACGAAGACTGCCAGTTCAGTTTATAAAATAATTACTCTAATTTCAATTTCTTTTTTACCACTATGTTTAAAAGCAACTATGATCGATATACAATGTATCACAAATTTTCTTTATGTTTTTTCTTTTTCTTGCAGAACGAGAATTTAACATATCATTCTGGGAGATATAACAGTGTCACGGCTTTGTTAAACAACGAAAGTACAATTTTTGAGTCAGAAACGGACACGCCTACTTTGAAAACGTCGCCTTTAAAGTGTATCAAATTTACTTGACGTCAAGATACGTAGGTGGACGATTACTTTATATACCGCACGCGAGATGGCAGGCAGTAAACAAATTGTGCAATGCGTTTGATAGGCAAATATTTCATTCAGATACTTTAGAACAACAGCTGATGCAAGACAGAAAACTGGGAAAAACAGTTAGAAAAACTACATCCTATTGAAAGCGCAGAAGACCCAACACTTTATGGTAAGAAATCACAAGTTGGTTAACTTTTCTTGAATAGTTTATACTGGAACGCTAGACCATAGGTAGATCCATTACATTAAGTATACTTTCTTGTTTGTTCGTTGTTAAGCGCAAAGATACACAATGGGCCATCTATGGTCTGCCCACGGCGAGTATTATTCCAGAAACCATCACAAGCTGGAGGGGGCTGAATGTTTGCAGCATTTTTCTTGTTTTTTTTTAGTTTTATTAATAATATTTACCCGTTTTATTTATGAACTTACTTGGAAAATTAAATAAAACCCAGAATCTAATTTCTCTTTATCTCCTTTCAGAGGTTAAAGCCAATGATTCACTGGAGGATAAATTATTTGTCATCATTTTTAATAATAATTCTTAGACTCATTTAAAACTCATTCCAGGTGTAGATCCTAATGTTTCTGAAGAAAAGGAAAACACTTTGAGTATCTACTAGGCCTGATTATCATATTTTACTTAATTTATAACCTTTGGTTTCTTCTCTTCATTATCATCCAGCCATTTCACGAAAATCTTAAAAATCTCCATACATTCTCTCTTTACAAATTACTTTATAAAAACATCAATTAAGGTGCATGGGATATCGGCATTAAAAGACTTCGTTAATATATGAGCACAAAAAGTAATCACAAAGAAGCCTGAAAATAAGAAATACAAAGCTAATCAAAATACGTCACAAGATCAAAATTCTGACCAGGAATTCTTAGATTCAGAAGCTAAAAGATTATCAATAGAAATAGGAAAGTGCATAATGAGAGAAGATTTTAAAGAAAGAATAATTGTCGCTTAACAATGTGGACCGGGCATGGTCAAGTGGTTAACATGCCGCACTGTGGATCTGAGGTTTACGTCCCGTTACGTGCCACAGAATCCCTAGTGGGGCCAGGAACATAGAATCCGATGCTAAAATCTGGTTCAACAACCTTGAAAACCAATTATTAGATTCACATCATCCCTGGGTGTCTTTCCGAGGGCATTAGCCCTTCTTGGTTAGGTTAAGTGGGAGCGTTATAATGTGACAGTCAATCCCACAGTCGGTAAAAGAGTAGCCTAAGAGTTGATGATAGATGGTGTTGAGCAACTGTCTTTCCTCTAGTCTATCTGCTAAATTAGGGACGGCTACCGCAGATAGCTGGTGTTGCTTTGCGCGAAATTCACAAGAAACCAAATCTCCCGGGCTACCCCGAGTTTTCCTGCCAAGTTTGGTTCTGCTAACCCCAGAACTGTTAGAGGTATTAACCTTGGCATACATAAAAATATACGGGTTGAATTAATTATGATTATTTTACAGTTGATTGCGTTAATGTTTAGGAAATTCCATTTATGGAAAATTGCAACCGTTTTCTACATGTGTATGGATGTATACACATGGATATAACGTATGTCAGTTATAGGATTGGTAATCTGATTTGATTTATTATAGTTTATTTACAGAGATGCATACTTTTCACCTCGCTTTCTGCTTGTGAAGCAAAATCTGAACACATTTTACACTGTTTCTTCTCAAAGACAACACATTAGGAACACTCTTTATTCTGAAAATATTAAACAAAAGTGTTTAACAAGATTATTAAAATTGTTAATTTAAAAAGGGGAATTACAGGAACATGATAGGTAGCTTAAAGTGAAAATGCAACAGCAAAAAAAGTAAACAAACAAGCTTTAGGTTGAAGTCGTAGTGTTGACATTATTTTCTTAAGCTACAAATCCGTAAATATCACAGCTTTTAGAAATGGAGTCAAAATAGTGATTTGTATCTCGAGGAAATAATGTCAACACTATGTTTCAAACATTCATCTTTTTTGTTTACTTTTTTGAGATTGAATTTTCACTTTAAGTTACCTATCTTGTTTCTGCAAATTTTGAAGATCCCTATTCCCCCTTTTTAAATTAACAGTTTTAAATAGTCTTAGTTTTTTAGTTTTTATGTCCATCATAGACATAAATCTGTATAATAGCAATACTGTTCTATTTGAAACAGTTTAATGTAAAACGTAGTTGATGTATGATGCTCTCTCGCGAAACAATGAAAACCATTGGATTGGCTTCATGCAGATTGGATGGCTATCGTCCCTGATATCACTTCCACGATGTTATCACTGATAGTGGTACTGTATGTATGATCACTATGATGCATGGTGATCAATAAATCACGTATTATGTACATGCTTGTAAAATGTATATAGCTACTATATTTATACCTTGTAGCTATACAGAGATCTGTAAACAATGGATTGGAGGGACTATTGAGCTACGCTGGAATGGTACATGGACTGGATTTTGTAACAACATGAGTTTTATACATGCATGTACATGCAATAGATGTTGGCTAGCATTCAAATCAAGACACAGGTAGTGTGTCGTACGGCTAAAACAACCTGTAGGACACACTTTTGTGTTATTAACAGGAGTGATACTTTAGCTATTTACCACTTTCTGTAGCTCGGACTATGGTAATCCAAATTATCACAGATTTTCAGTGGATGTGCTCTACTGGACCCTTACTTCATATACTAAATTTCAAGGCAATCCATTAAGAAATACACGATATATAAAATTTCGAATTTTGGTTGAAGTTTTCTTTCTTTTTTTCCCCTTCGCACGCAATGTACGAAAACTTTATTTGACAGAAAAACATGTTTGGTACACTGATAGATCTTTACAACCTACAATTAGGTGTCAAATGTGGTCTAAGTATAAACCACATATGCAAAGTTAGTCAACAAAAACCTCTCAATTTTGACCAAAATATTTGCACACGACTACGCAAAAAGTCACGTGAACTATCGGTCTGAAATTTTTACTACAAGTTTACCTAAGAGTGAAGGTGAACCCTTTTAAGTTTTTTGTCATTCGGATTAAAGACGGCTGACTTAGAGCAGCAACATTATAAGGTGAAAGCACGTCCAGATACATAAGTATTGGTTAGGCCAAGCAAACTAGATTAGTAGTTTCTAGCTCAAGTTTTCAAAAGAATCATATGGATAGACGGTTATTATTCATTATAAATTACCAACTTTTAAGCACAAATTTGCTAACTTTTATGAAATTCTCCTAATTAAAGAGCGTTTAGCGTCACGTGATGCTTGAGACAGCTGTACCGAGTGCATGCGGGTCATGACAAGAAACTGTTAATCTAGTTTCCGTGGCGTTACTATAGAGGAAATTGTTAAAACTATTTTAGAGAGGAAAAACTACCACTATGTATATTTTAAAGAATCCGGTTGGTTCTGTAAAGTATAGGTTTGTTCCTAATAATAGGGTTGCAATTCTAAAGCTAACGTGGGTTACTATCCAGTGTCACTCTCTTAATTGCTGTGGTTTGTTGGTGTATATTGAGAAAACGTCATGATATCTAATGAAAAACACCTTAGGGGTGAATAAAGATGCTAACCAAAAAAAAAAAAAGGTTGAGCGTGCGACTTAAAGGAATGAAATCAAAACTGGCGGCTAAACTGGTATCTGCACTTATAGCACTGATAAGAATTTTACAGCAAATATTCATTCATTAGTTAGCAAGGTCGCGTATTTTGTTTTTCTATCATGCTCCCAGTTGAACAAAAAATGCGTCTTGGATAACAAATGAATGAATATTTGCTGTAAAAGTTTATCAATGCTACAAGTGTAGCTACCAATTTGGCCACCAATTTTGATTTCATTCCTTTAAGACACTCACTCAATCCTTCTTTAGCTTTTTTGTTAGATCTCTCTCTCTCTCTCTCTTTATATATATATATATATACATGCAGGCTTTATAGATTTGTTTAAGTTGTAAAGCCGTATATATAGATAGGCATATAAATTTTTTCACCTTGTATAGATGCATGCAAGTATATTCAATGCAAATATAAGACAGTTTATATGTATGCACATAAGCATTTTTAATATTTATTATAGTTATATTTCCTCCTTCCTCCTCCTCCTCTCTGCTGGCCATAGTAAGGCCGGTCACGGTTTTGCTGCAACTGACCAGCTTTCCTCTTAGAGCGACATTCTACACACTCTACAAGGTCGAAAACGTGTTACTTAACAATCAGGAATTGATAATTTTAATATACCCTTCCACCCCCTCCATTTCTGATGAAGTTTGGGTCGTGACACTCCTAGAACCCTATCCCACTGTGACGACCATAAACTCTGGTGGGCCATCGCTGCTGTATATATTATTTGAAACTAAATATTTTCTAAATAAAATACATACCTACAGAATTCCTGCCTCACTTTTGCCTAGAATTGCCATCATTTTGGACATCTCCTACTTGCACAATTCTTGATACTTCTTTTAGTCAGCTTCAAAGATAGCTATTCTATCTGCAGTATCTGTAAAATTCGCAATCACATAGTGTTGGCTATAATTCTACTATTTGGCTATCAGTCATCATCGTGATTGCTGATCCGATGCTCGAAACTGAGCTTGATGCTATCTTTTAAACTATGCTTAAAAATTTCTGCTATAAGGGACAGCCTAGACATTTGTATAACGTTTTAGATATTTGTGTAATATGGCCGAAATCGAGACTGTGATCCTTTCAGCAACGTCGTATCCGGAATGGAAGGAACCCTATATATAAATAAATAATCCGCGACATCAATACGGTTGCAATAATAAGTTAATAATCGCTATAGTATATGTGTCATGCCTGCAATATAAACATTAAATTGCATCCACGGCCTGCACACAGCTATGTATGTATGCATGCAGTAGATTGTGAGGCTCCATATAAAACACAGGCTACATTAAAATGATAAGGTGTCAACAGTTATACAGCCGCTGTTATTTGCTAGGTAGTCAAATAAACTTAAAAACTATCCTATAGAATGCGTAGTGATGCGTTTAGTAATACTGCCCAGGTTCTATTACAATACTCACAGCCATTTTTGCTGTAGGCTGGCGGAACAATATTAAATAATAATAAACAAGAATTAATGGGCGATCCCTATTATGAACCACTACCGTGCTTCATTATATGATTTTTCTTGCATAATTTGCTTAATTCACCTCTGTTTTTAACTTTGATTTTATGTCACCTGGTGAAGAGTTAGTAATACCAATTTTGAAGTTTGCAAAGCTTGATATTTAAAGTGTTTTATTGCAGATTTGTCTTTTACACATCTTATTGTTATTTTAAACAGTTCAATGGCACTAAATTTTCAATGTTTGTTTTTTTTAGAAACCACTGGTTCCATCTACAGTTTAAAGAAACAATGGCAGCACTTTCCTGGTGTGTAATTATTGTGATTCTTCTAAAAGGTCAAATTCTTGCTGAAAATTCATTGCACTTAAGATCAGATGACAAGTCAAAAATCCAGCCAAAACCATTAGGCCCAAAAAGAGATCGAGATCCTTATGACGTGATAGCTGTTTCCCAGAAGCAGGTGGAGCAGGTCCCTGAATACTTATTGAGGAAACCAAAATCAGAGCCTTCTTGTGCCGAACTACGTGTCATATGGAACCGTATACAACGAATATTACGATATAGCGATATGACTAATGAACTTCCAGTATTTCCTCTGTCGTTACCCAAAGCACTCATTAATTACATATTGAGCTACCCAAGCTATTTCGAAAACAGTGATATTCGACTTCCAAAAGAACTGTTTTCCTTGCCGATTGAAAGCAATTTAGAAAAAAGTCTAAAAGGTGCCATAAGTCATAAGCAAAAATCCCTTGCAAGACAAAACACATTGACTGGAAACTTCGGCGATACAATCTCAAGACACAACCATCAAGCCAACAACAACTATAATATTTATAACCACTCCGAGACACACAACTCCCATAGTAGGATCGATCCCAGTAATCTCCTGGTTAAGTTGGCTCGTTTTCCTTATCAGCAAGAGCCTTTAGGTGGTTTTGGAACTGTTCTTCGGAAACCAGAAGACAAGATACTTTTAGAAAAGCAGCAACGTCTAGAAAAGATGCCTGAACCGTTTCCTGGAAATGTAGAAATTAGTCCTCTACATATGAATACAAAGGACTCGGACAATGGTTTTGGTACCCTTGGAGAGTTTGCACCTAATTTAGAACAATCAAGACAGAACAAAAACAACTACCATTACGGAACTTTGCTGAATGAAATGTCTTCTATGGAGCAACAGGTTTTCTCTCATCCTGAAGAAAAAGAGAAAGATCTCACTAGTGAAATGGTATCAAATGATGCTGTCAACTTAGAGGTATGTAATGATGTATGGTTATGCTGCTGCAATGAGATTATTTTTTAAACTCAAAGAAAACGCTAAAAAAAAGTAAACTTTTGTGAGAACATCTATTTTTGTGAATGTTAGTTGTATTTAATACGGTATGAAATATAATGTTTTTCACCGATTAACCACAAAGTTCAATATCTTGGATGACGTGATGGAAAATCTTTTATTTCTTTTGATTGATAGAATGTAACTGTTAACGGGTTTCAATTGCATCGAATGTTTGAGTTTATTATCAACACATGTTAACTTGTTATACAATATATTTTATTAGAATGTAAATTGCCCCCCCCCCCCAGTGGCACAGAGGTATGTTTGAGGACTCACAACGGTTTCGATACCAGTGGTGGGCAGAGCCCAGATAGCCCTTTGTGTAGCTTTATGCTTAACTACAAACAAAACAGAACGTAAATCAATTTTGATTATAGTGAATAGCTATCATTTTATACGAAACATTCTTATCCACATACACGTGGATGGTTTACTTTATTATGGCATGCCACTTGAATCAACCAATTCCTCCATGAACGAGCAGTTTGACTACACCTACCTTGGACTCGTGCACAATTCTAGTCTTGTTAGAAATTTGTTCGTTCACAGTAGCCTCTTGTATCTATCCGACATTGAAAAGCTAGATATGTTTTAAAAGTAGGCGTACAGTGTAATATGCAGATACTAGATACCTTTCTTGTGTATTTCATGTCTACAATATTTTTTAAATATTTGGAAGATCTGATTTGTAACCTACTCAATCCGGTGGAGTCGTGTGGTAAATTTAGTGTGAGATGCGACTTTCTGTAGTAGAGTTTGATCATGCACAGAAACCATTGTTACGTATTACAATTTCGAATGGTCTGAAACCAAGCTGAATGATAATTTAAATTTAGTTGTTAAATATATGCCGATATATTTCCAATTTATGCTATTTGCTAACAAGATTTATACACACAGTTTTCTTTTTTAATACAAATATGTTTTAATATACAAACAATAATACAATTTACTTTACAATAACAGTTATTACAAATAGTTATTACACACAATGATTTATATACAAAAGCTTCACGAACTTACAGACAATATAAAATCTTTCTTCTGGTCTAGAACTTCCTTGATGTCTTATCCAGGTTTCACGATGAGCTGGTTAATTTCGAGTTGACGCAGTTATAAATCACTTAACAGAGAGCTAGCTAGCCCTGTAGTTCTTGCTGATCACACGCCGATTACAAGTGAAGTTTTCACTGATGACGTTAGGTAATGTTTTCTTAAAAGTACTAATGTCCGATGTGAATCCACTGAAGATATAAGAGATATTAATCTTTTGAAACCCTATGTAGATCGTTATGTTCATTCTGTTGTCCCTCTTAGCCTGAGAACTATCAACATGTTCTTTTTTGCACTTTAGTTTGGCAACTTTTTATACATCCTCGGCAATCATAATCTGTTATGTACCTTCGGCTATTATATTTTAACACTTAACTATATGTGAGTTCCATTTCTCTACCGTTGTCATTCTCATTGCTGCCTCATGCAGATCATGTATAACACGAGATATCATTGCAGCATATCTTTCTGCCCGTTTGTATAATTACTATACAAAACATATAAACATTTCATTAAATTTGAAGATTGGTCTGCTTGAGAAGAACAAATGTGGAAAATAAGCACTTATCAGCCACCTGTGACGTTGTTATAAGAAGGCGTACATTATTTACGAAAGAAGGAAAATAGTGAAACTATTGGCCGCTCTTACATTTTTCATATATAAATGGTTCAGTATTGAAGCCTTTTAAGTATAGGATATGTGTGTCTGTAACACCGTTGCTGGCTTAATTGGTATGATGTTTTTTTTCTTTTGTCTTATATACGTGCGTTATCATGTGTTGTTTGGCGGAAGGTCGAAGCAGCAATAAAAATTCGTAGGGAGTTATAATCCTGATGAGACCTCTTCTGCAAGATGTAGAATAGGTTCTAACGTTTGTCCTCTCTTGATTTTATTTGGTTTTCTGTTTAATCCTGATATCTGGAATATGTTCTTATACAAAAATAGTAACCTACCAATGTTCTTATGTTTAAACGACTGGACAGTGTGAGACGGAGGAAATACAAATGGCTATGAAGTTATCAGCATAAATAGTTTGAATTAAAACATAGTCAAACAAACTTCTAGTTTAATTAACCCTCCTCTGAAAAAAAAATCAAATCAAATCTATAAATAATACAACACTAAAAAACAACAATTTATCTTTGTTTACACAATAAGCACTTTTATTGGGACTTATCAACAGTCACCAAACACCCGACATCTTTAGACGCTCTATCGCGAATGTAAGTCAGTTCCAATAAAATGTTTATTATAAAACAAAAATAAGTTGTTATTTTCAACTTTAATATTTATTTATGATGTTACACAAGTGTCCATAACAGTCCAATTCATTCGTCTAATATCTTGTTACCATCTCTTAGAAGACATGTAAGGTGGTGAATGGGAACCCATGTCAAACAGATGAAGATTGTTTTTGCTTCAACACCGTTCTTCAGTGTGTGGCCACCAGGTGCGAAGCTCGACAGTCTCATTCCCTGAGCCGTCAGTCTGGTAAACATTTATAGTTAATCAACACATTCACAATATCAAAAATAAAAAAATTGGGCTATTATAAATGTATTTAACATGGCCGTATTTAACATAAAATATTATTGTTTCATTAGTTCTTAGCTTGTGCATTGTTTTACAAGTGCGTAGTGAATATTTTAAAATAAAAATTACTTTACAAAGAAAAGCAGTTAGGTAACTTACACTAATTGTATCTTTTTCAGAAATAAGTATATTTCGGAAACTGCGACGTGATTAAAATTAGTGATAAGTTTGAAATGAATAAAATTAATAAAAGATCAGTATAATTGATTGAGCATTATTCTTATCATGTTAAGTAAAACCGTTCAATTTGAGGCGAATAATAAATTTTAACTATTTTGAAATGAAAAACAAAAGGTAAAATTAGTATTACGTATAGAATAATAAGAAACGGCCAATAGTCAGGTTACTGATTTAATACTAGTTAGTACCATTAACAGTTTCATTTTGAGTTTACTTACTGATTATAAGTATTATTTTATTACAAATTACAGCTTTTACATTTGTGTTTTCAGAGAACATACAGAAGCTGCCATTTTTATCTTGTTTCTTCAAATAACTTGATATTCAGTTGGTTTGTGTTGTTAAAGTAGTTGAAAAGAACAAGAAAAAAGAGTCTTCGTTTACATATTTTCGTTTTGAGTTCACTTACTGATTACGAGTATTATTTTATTACAAATGAAAGCTCTTACAGTGAGGAAGAATTTTTTTTAAACAGTTATGACGTTTCGATCACTGATGCGATCATTCTCAAGTACATAAGTTTTAAGGGTAAAGAAGATTTTAATACTAAAATCAACAATATATTTCAATTCTAGAACTGATAGTGGTTAGTTATGCATATCAATCCACGTGATTTGACAGAGCATTTATTTATGACTGAAATCAGTTCGAAATTGTAATTAACTTTAAAGGTTTCTTTTATAGAATCTTTTGCAAATTACGTTTCAGGGTTTTCATAAAGCTTCCGTAAAGCTCTCAAACTACAAGTCTGTGTAAGGTTTCATAATAAACTACCTAAATTATGAATCAAAGGAAGTGGAGTAACCCTCTTTCTGCATTTAACTGTAAATCAAATGTCAGAAAAAGCATATAAAATATGAATAAACAACTTATTTTAGCCCTTTTCTTCAGATTTAAGGACGTTATTTCCATTGTTCAAAGTCTCATAGTACTATACATGTGCTAAATATAAACTGAATTATTCAGAAGAATAAATGTATTGCAACAATGTTGTATACTCTTCTAACCTTATATAAAAATAAGTTCACAAAGTAAAAGACAATCTAAAACACTATAAAAGTACATTTGCCTAGTTTAACAACAGAACTATAACATGTTCCTTTGTTTCAATCAGGGATCATTCTACTATTCACATAGATCTGCAATACTGAATGTTACTAGACGTGCAATCAAGAACTGTCGTTGATATGTGTGCTTTAGCGGATTCAAAGTCGCTGGCTTGGCAAGAATTCTTGATGTCAAAGAGAAAATCTTGATAATTTTACAAAGAGAAGTAAGCCTTTACTTCTTAAGTTGTAAGACTGATTTTTTCTAAACACAACGAAAAGGAGAAATTAAAAAGTACAATTACAAAACAATTAAGCATATTATTTGTAAATGGTTGGTTGCAAAAGAACGAACATTTGTAGTCACGGTCTACGATTTATTTTTCCAAATTCTAACACGCGTAAACAATGTTTATCAGTGAAATTTAAACACAAGAAAGTAAATTAATGTGGGTGTATAATGTATTTAGCTATATACACCTTTCATTTAGTTTGAACAATTACCAAGTTACACGAAGTAAGAATGGGCGGAACGATGGCCACACCCATTCTGAGGTTGCACCATTTTAAAAAACACCAAATGTTGCAATGTTATCCTGCCCATTCTTACCTTGTTTCCTCGCTTTTTGGTTCTCCCATTTCTGCGTCCTAATTGTTTGTTGTTGTTTTTGTTTCACACTTGTATAATTGGTATAGCCATAGTGGAAGTATACTGACCAACCAGCAATGGCACTATTACACGAACACATCCATCATACAACCTGTTCTTTCTGCTTAACAAAAACTGATGAATGGTGACAGTATGAGCAGGTTTCCGAAATGTCTTTTACAAGGCATTACACCCAGGATGAAAATAATTCATTGTGGCCTAAATTACTGGCATCCATATTAGTGTGAAAACATTGAGAGTTTCAACTGTATTAGTGAATCCATTTTTCACCTAGATTTTTAAAGAGACCTAGATGGCGTCACATTTCTTTTCCCCCTTATTACCAATCTTTTTAGTCCTACCATGTTAGGTCTATTGACGCCCATGGACTCTACACTATATGAGATAGGTAGGTTCCTACTGCAATTACAGGACTCAAGTGAGTGAGGGCAAGACTGAATGATTGTCAAGTGTATCTGGGCCAAAGAAAACTGATCCAGATCTCTCAGTGATGGTACTAGTAGGAATAAAGACTTGGATGGATGTGGATCTATCCTATTGTATTTTTATTTCCTGGAAAATAAGCAGGAATGATTTAATGTTTCATTGAATTTAAATATAAAATAAAATAATATTTCTATTTTCACTTACTTCCTTCGATTTTCTCAAAAATATAAATTATTTTTGATATGTCCTTCCTAATACCACATTAACAAAACCACTATTATAATTGATTATCGATTAGTTATACAATAATTGTGACGTAACAAACTAATGACGTTCTATTATGTAATGTCAAATGTATACTTTATTACATTAAATATTTGATGACTTCACTTTACTGCGACTACCTAATATTTGTCACATTATTGAAGTAAATGATACCCTTATTTACCAGTAAATGTTCTTAATCCAGGAAATATATATTTCAAACTTTAAGGTGTTTAATCTTCCGCTAAAAATAAACCTGCATGTGCTCTAATGGCCTCTTTTAATAAACTGTATCTAATAAAGATCAATAATTTTTTGTTAATACTGTTTACCATACATGTATTACGGACAGTATGTTCATAATTTGGAAACTATGTTATGCTTTAAAAATGAATTTTTTGCGCTCTTTAAAAGAATAGACAAATATTAATGAATTGAAATTTTAATTAAGCTAAAACTTTTCCTTAATTAACTAGTTTTAGTGAGAAAGTGTAGCTTTTGGCTTGATATATTAACCACTTCTATATTGTATTAATTAGAAGCTAATATTCACTAGAGATAGATGTATATAAGAGGGAAGTCATAGAAAAATACAAATATGGCATTAATTTTTTGTGTTTTTTGTACTTTTCAATGTCGCAAGTAAGCGTAGAAGAATTGAAAGTCTAAACAGCTGTGCTGGAGGTTTTAAAGAATGTGTTGAATAAATGCTACAAATGTTTTGCCTACATTTAGAAAATTTGGTGATGAGAAAAAATACATTATTTTAAACAGCTTGTCTGTCGGGTAAATGTTCTATTAATTTCTAGTGGAACGTAAACACGTTTAAGAAATAGACATCGAGAACCGATGGTATTTATGATAGTCATTACATGCATAGTTTCGCTCTAGCCTAGCGATGGCTTGCAAATTATAGAGAGTTTATAAGTTCGTTTATTTTATTGCGTGTTTAGAAAGATTAATAGGTGAAAAAAAGAAAGAGAGGGGCCTAGAAAAATTCTGAAAGTAGTATATAAAAATTTCCATGTGTCGTTATTATAAAAAATGTACACTTTTATAAGTGACTGTGCTGAAAGGTCCAGAGGTTCTCAGTTCTCAATTGTTGGCCTATGATCCTGAATCTATGTCTATTTATTTTTATTCAGTCTACCAATTGCAAAAATTGTAAGACCTTCTAAAAACTTACAAACCTTTTCATCAACCACTTATCGGACAGGTACTAAAACATTTTTATGATGTATTTTACGAATGCAATGGTTTTTTTAGTGTACTAGCAATACAACGCTCATTTTCTCAAGTCAGTATTCATTTGATATTCGGGTATTCACTGAAGCAATGGTTCTCAAACGTTGGTTTTGGGGTTTAATAGCGCAAAGCAGTGTGGCTATCTGCGCCGTTTTTAAACGTTTCGTTCTCGTGGATCACAATTACACCTATACAATACGCTACCGTGCTGCCGCTTTCATTCCATAGTTATGCGGTTTTTCCTCGAACTACCCACAGACCAGATATCACACTAGAGAATAATGTTTTGTTGACTGGATGTACATAACACATAAATGGTCACACTGGAATGAGATACAAAAAACTGACTAAAAAGGTTGGTGCTTTTTAGTGAACTGTAGCCCTTTAGTCATTTCTATCTTGGTGCAAGAGGCCTAGCGCTGGACCAGGAGAGTCGTTTGGCGGCCGACCACTCAAGCTCGGAATGGGATCCAAATGGCAGTTTCTATGAGACATTTCTATTTGGACCGGATTAACACATATATAGAAAGTAAAATATTCTAGGGGCTCCAAATAAATTGAGGTGGGGTCCACGCGAAGTCAGTCTCCTTAGTCCCCAAGCTTTTTGTAAAATGATACTCCTGTGCTGGACAACGATATATTAATTAACAATCATTCGGATTTAATACCTGAGTCAACATCGCTACTTGTTGAAAGGAGGTAAAATAAAAAGTGCTTGTACTAAATAACTACGGGATAAATTATTGCATATCGTGTTTAACGGAATAATAGAAATAATAACTAATAAAAATGTATGTGTTATTTCATGAAAACCCAAGAAAGCGTGATCACTGACAAGCAGTCTTTTTTAATTCTTAAAATTGTATTTCAAAGCGGAATTACTAATCATTGACTTAGCATTACTACATTTATAAAAAAATGTTTTTTTTTATAATATTCTTGCCGGTTCTGTGCTTTAATGCTGACCCCCGGTGACTCAGTAGTAAACGTGAAGGCTTATAACAGGAAAATTCGGGGTTAGATCCTTACGGTTCTTGTTATAATTTTACACTTAAAACAAACAACTGCTGTCAAGTTAAAATGAAATTTATTATTTTAATAATTAAATGCTAAATATTTTACTCTTTATGAAATTTGCTCTCATGACTTTCCATCGCTAAAAGTTATTTTGATGTAAATCCTTTCAAAACTGGTTATTTTAGCTGTTATTCGTTCTTGTGAGTTTAATATCAATAATTTTATATTATATTCAGTTTTCCTTATAATCTATAGTTATCTTCTAGTTATTCTCTTCTTACAAAAGTTTTCATATTTTTCTACCAGTGGAAGTTCTGGAATAGTACTTTTTCGTATTGAAAATCGATGTTAATTGACTAATACATATTATGTTTTCCAACAAACATAATTCAGTCGCCGATCTCACTATGTTCTTGCTATCAGCAACTGCGTTTTACGTCCATTTGTTTGTTTGAATTTCGCGCAAAGCTACACGAGGGCTATCTGCGCTAGCCGTCCCTAATTTAGCAGTGTAAGACTAGAGGGAAGGCAGCTAGTCATCACCACCCACCGCCAAATCTTGGGCTACTCTTTTACCAACGAATAGTGGGATTGACCGTCACATTATAATGCTCCCACGGCTAAGAGGGCGAGCATGTTTGGTGGTACGGGGATTCGAACCCGCGACCCGCAGATTGCGAGTCGAGCTCCCTAACCACCTGGTCATACCGGACCTTTAAATCCATTAAAAGATAACTGGTTTTCTTCTAGTCAGGTTCTTTGACACTGTCTCCCTAATTTTTTATTACAATTAAACTTCTTTTTCAATCACAAGTTCAGGTGATTAAAGGGTTAAAATCGTAAGGAAGTTTGAGGAAACAAAATGTGTGTATTGTTGTACATACACACATAAAGAGATATACACAGAAGGAATCATAGTTTTTTAAAAAACATAATACATCAGATTGCTTTTATGTTCATTCATGATAAAGGGAACGAAGTGCTGGCCCTCTGGGAGTATAAAATACAAACATCTCCTGTGAAGTGTGGTATTGCTCAGATACAACTAAATCTTTTATGTAGACAAATGCTTGAGCGAAGAAAAAACTAAAATTCTGCTTTAACTCAAACAGTAGGTGAAATTCATGGGTGAATTAGGAGCGAAACTGAATCCATAACTGGTGAAAAGCTTAATATTTTGTTTTATATATATACAAACACACACACACACAAAATAAACCATTTTAAGGTGGTGGAAATTGGGAACATGATTATCAGCACATGAGAAACAAGATGAACCAATAAAGAGAAATCAATAAATGATTGTTACCCCTACGAGTGTAATTAAAGCCTTAACTTGCATTATTAATTAAACAAAAAAGCAGCATGTTGAAATCACTTGGATGCTAGCTATAAGAGCTGTCAGAATGACTTTACAAAAGAAGGCAACGTTAGTGAAGCTTTTCTACCAAAAAGGAAGCAATGCAGAACAAAACTTGACAGGTTATAACACACAGAAAAATCTTTGTCAAGATCCATGTACTGAACAAACCATACAAATCAGTTACATTCCCAAGGATTGGCCGTTTTTAACATTACTCCTCAACTCGATGCTGCAATGGGGAATGAGGGAGGGCATACTGATCATGCAGATACAACCCCTAGATGTAACAATTAATAATATATATAGTGAGAGAAAGTTAAAAAAAAACTTTTGGCCAAGAAATAAGGTGTATAAAAGCTATTTTATTATAATACCTAAATTTTTCCATTAAACATTCATTTTGCGAAGCCTAATTTTACTTTTATATTAGTATAAGGTTTTTCCTTATTATCAATTTTCAGCCAACGATAAGGTACTGTAAGATATACTTTTTAATATTTCAAAGCAGTTCTCTACATTTATTGAGTCATATCAGAGGGGATGTCATTCTTAATTTCGTATATTTATTGATTACAAATATGGGCACACATTGAAATTGGTAAAAAGCTCACTCTGTTATTGATAATAAATGTATAATGCTATGAGGATCAGTGGTGCTTTTCTTTTATAAAAAAAAGAGAAGTATTAATCAATATAAGTTAAGTAATCAATCGGAAATAGACAAAAGCGTTCAAATATTTATTATAATTTTCTTAAGCTATTATATTCTCTCTATATTCAATCATAATTCCATTAAATGTGGGAATGACACATAGGACTGTTATTTTATTTGGCTACGATGGTTGGAAGCTTTTAAATAAAATATAATTATATATAAAAAGGCATGTAAGCAATGTATGTTGATACTGTTTAGATAGTGAGCTCTAAATGGCATTTAAGTTTTTCATAATTATATTTTAACTAAATGGTGTTTAATTTTGTAAAACCGCAAACATTTCGAGGACGGGGTAAGATAACGAATCTTGAAAGATAAATCAACTGCAGTATTTAAAACAAAACCAGACGGTGATTACAGATGGATCGTGAAACTCGACTCTGAAATGAATAACTTTGCCATCTTTTGGCAATAAAATGAACTTCCGAAAGTAAAAAAAAATAATAATAATTATCCTATGGCGAGCTACCGTCGTCAATAATTGGAAAAAATCAGTATAAACCATCATCGAAAAACGATATAACGACTATCTATAAATTTCGAAACAACATACGTGAGCAGTATGAAGACGTTTTTAATGTGTTGTTTTAATTCATTATCGAAAAGTTGTAAATTCCGATTCCGTACCTCTCAGATATTTTTGTTAGAGCCTACTTTTAACTTTAGCTTTTCTTCTACAGGAGTTTTCACCGACGACCAGGGAACCTGGCACAGTGGTCCACTGAACTCGGCTAAACTTGGGATATCTCGTAAAAAATAAAACATCGTAAGAGTTGTTACTATGTAAATTGAAGTCAAA